AAAGCAACATGAAAACTGAACAGACACTTTTCACACCACTGTCCCCTTTTTCCATCTCTTCCAAATTTGTTTAGCATTTTTAAGTAGAACTCAGTCAAGCGCTTGAGCACAGCAACTCATTAATTACCCAAGTTCGTTCACACCATGTTTGACTGTAGCTAATGACTCATTTTCTCAGGGGTAGATGAGGCCACAAGCTCTGCTATCGCACATTGAGATAATTTAGCCGCTAAAGTGACATGACACTTTTGATCAGCTAACATGCCTCCCAGTTAAGCTCCATGTCATCAGAACCATCCTGTGGCCTACATGCAGACCGTGTCAAGTCATTCCTGAGCATATCCAGTTACACTGTTAAAGTGTGCAGCTAACTGGCCGATTTAGTGGAAGAAATATGGCAAGGAATGACGCCGTTTCTGTCCTCCTTGCTCTACAAAGATGGCAAATACGGGACGACAATCTGTAAACATTTAATTGCATTTTTGGAGACATGTTTTTTTGTTTTAGAGAATTGAATGAGCTGGTGATTGGTTCCTCAAATGAAAAGCTGGGCTTTTTAATTGCCACAGCAGTCCCAAAGTTCTGAGAAGAAGGAAAAAACAGACAAGAAAACAGTAAATCCTTGCAATTTGCAGCACCCTAATAACCCTAATGCACTGATCGTGCATTGAAATGTGACCAGCACTAAAGATAGGATCAGGAGCAGCACAGAATGGGGACAGATCAAGAATGAATTCATGCTACCAGCTATGTTAAATTGCACTGGGACATTTTTTGACAGTTTTCATGGAAATCTTTCTTTGTCCTTCTCATTGCAGCCTTGTTTACAAGCTGTCAGCTGGAGTCTTTATTCTACAGATGAATGGCTGCTGCTGCTATTTCAGCCCAGGCCCACATACAACTGACTGAAAAGTGATTGGTCGCTTGAGAATGTGTTTGGATTGAAACAGGGCTGGAGGAAGAGAAGGTAGATGAGGCAGAAACGATTGAGGGCTGTAGTCTCCCAGGGGCCTCCTCCTGATAAATGGTTCACCCCCTCTTCCCTCTAACCATCATTAAAAATGTCAAATCATTAAAAGCTGCAGTTGTTCATAATTCCCCCCCCCCCCCTCACTGATGGTACATTTTCTGCCAGCTCAGCTGGCCCCTTTTTTCGTCTTGTTGAGCATGTTAAACTGCACTCCCAAGTGCTTGTGAGCTAAATTAGTATTGTACCTCTGCTGCTGCAAACTGATTGTCCTTTTTGTTAGCAGTGGGTAATAAAATGGGAAGGACAAAGCGGAGCTGTATTGGCAGTACAACAGATGCTAATAAGCAACTGTGCACTAGTTCAAAGATGCCTGTGCAGTTGGGGTTAAGGGCCCTGAATGAGGGCAGTGTTTCCTGAAAAAGGAGCATTAGGGTTGGATAACGCCCCAATAGAACTACTCTGTACAATGTATTGTCCACATGGGAAGGCAAAACAGTTTATAGCTGTTCCCAATGGCCACACTGGAAGTGAGGGTTAAAAGGTGACCATTGTAGAGAGGAGAGGGAAGCGATACAGTTTTATGTATGGAGATAATGACGCACATTTTCACACTGTCTCTCCTGGAAGACGTCCATAGTGTTGCACTCAGTTGTACCAGGGGTGGACACACACGTTTTGGTTTTAGTACACATAACTCCTGATGAACCATGTCACACCCGCAGGTTACGCACAGGCAGTGGGGTCATTTGACTAAATGCGACGCTGCACAGTGCTGACTTAACATGACGCATGCAGGTTTTAAAACAATGCTGGCTAGTTAGAAAATTTGGCTGACTTTCGCCAGCACTGCAGAACGTTGCCATTGTCACATGACATTAAAACCTCGCAGGAGCAAGGCGGCTGCAGTTTTCTGAGTCAGGCGCTGCGTTTGCTCTCCTCCAGCTGGGAATCACCTCTGTGACGACAGAACTTTGCCCTAATTAGCTTTAGGCTTCACCGACGTGCATGTATGTTTTTATTAAGAACTCCAGATCTGTTATCTGCTATGGTTATCTCTCCCAGAGCGGATGCAATTTATTTGATCTCCTCCTTCTGGCACCTCATTTTTAACATAAGGGCACCAACACTATAGTTTTAATCTCCAGCAAGACGCTGTAAAACCAATTTAGCTGGTTTGTTATTATAAAAGACTTAATTTTTTTGTAACTGAAATACTGATTGTTTGTTCTGCAGCATACTATCTTTCAACTCTGTTGAACTCAAAGTTTTCCAAAATGTGTAATCTAGAGAGCAGGATTTGAACTCAGTGTTGTGTTCAGGAGGACATGACTATACCTCATTGTCCTTCTTATATTAAACCAATAAACATATCTGTTTTTTAAATCATTTAATCTTTGTTCTCTTACATTGTAGAATCATGTTTTCAGTGGAGAATCCCTTTTTTAATTTCATAATATAATGAAAAAAAGTATAGTGTATCACCTACCCCTAAATTGTGCAGATGAAAATGACCACAAATTAACTATTAGCTATGCACTATCCACTACACCCATTGAAACAATCTGACAAGAACTTCTGATGGAGTATACTGGTTTAACTACCCGGGGTTAATAAGGGCAAAGTCATGAATTAGTGGAAATTGACCAGAGAAAGTAAGCCAGCACATACATGTATGTGGTGTTTTAATGTAAAGGAAAGTTCTCAGATGTACTGAGGACTGCTTCCTCTGCGGTCATCTGTTTGTCACGTCCTTCAGATCACCTTGACTTCTGTTTCCACACCAGCTCAGTGCAGCAGCTCACTGACTGTTACTGGATCCGTGTGTGGGCGAGAGTGGGAGGAAACGGGTGGTGACGGTCAGGCACCGGAGAAAAGGCTACTGTGTAAGACATGTGAGCCATCCTGCTGTCTCGTTAGACCACACACTATCACGGCCTGGATCAGTTAGAGTGTGTGTGTGTGTGTGTGTGTGTGTGTGTGTGTTGTTTTTCTAAATGGCTGATCATTTGGAAGAAATGCATCCTGCTGCCACATCATCTAATTCAGTGGATCATTTGTGAAGCCGTTCCACTTGCATCTTATTTCAAAAAGCTCCTGTTTGAGCTACAGTTTGTTACCACGGTAATATGCCCCTGGGATTATAGACCCATATATATAAGAGTGGCTTTGTTTTTCCTCGCTGACCCACTGTACGTTTGAGTTTTTATTAGCAGATTGACAACTGTATCTTATTTATTACAAGGTGAGGTTTCCTAATGAACTTGATACATCAGTGGACTTTGATGTCTTAAGAGAGGAGCTGGTGCTTTGGTGTTCTGCGGTTCATTTAATCAGCGTGAGAATCCACAAGGCCCCATTGATTCATGCTGATTCATTTTACAACTCGGGTTCTATCCAAACCCGCCCTGCACCAGTCCAGCTCTGCTTTCTTTGCCAAACATTCCCCCATTGCTCATTTGAATGCATAATTATCAAGTCTTTTAGTAAGTGCTGTATTGCCAAAGTGTGTGCGTGTGTGTAAAAAAAAGGAGTGAAGGGAGGAACTTGAGAGTAGCAGTTCATATTAATCAGAGTTGATGTCTCACTGGCTACATTCACAAGGTTACAGGGAGAAATCTGCCTATGTTAACTAATTTATCTTTTAATCACTTAATGTGTTAAAAGAAACAGTTTTTCTCATTTACATGTTTTTTTAGAAATTGGGTTCCTGTCAGAGGCTAAGAATAATTTGATTTCTTAAGTACATGCAAATGCACTGATTGCTGCTGTCTCTTCAAGTGGCCCAAGTCTTAGAGGACTGATTTTCACTTGTTCAGGGGGCAGTAAGCATTTTGTGAGAATTACTTAACAGATGGAATTTGACAGGAGTAAAAGTAGTGCTTTGACCACGGGGAGTAATGAAGCTGCAGCACTGCTAACCCCCATCTGTCACACAGTAATTGATTAACATTAACATTAACATCTTTACTTGAAGTCTACATTCATAACGCTGATTCATTATAAAAAACGAAAATGATCTCCGCCCTGACGATCACACCAGAGAACGCAAATCACAATTCACGTACACCGGGCATGCACGATGTGTCCCGGCGTAAACAGGAAGCAGATTGTCCACGCTGAAGCTAATTAGTTGCAGAAAATACTACGAACGAAGAACGGAAAAGACAGTTGTAGCGTTAAAATGCAGAGTGTCTCCACAACAGCTGCTAGCGAAGACAACGGTGTCAGTAACCTTTTGTAAGTCGTTATCCAGGTTGCTTGACCTTCACCACTGGTAGTCGAGGCTGATAAGACCCAATCAGGCAGCGACTGTGTGTGTCTATGTCATATTTTCTAAAGGTCTCAGCCCGTCCGGACTACAACGCAACCCCAGATTCAAACTAAAACGGGTCACCAGCGTTTCCAAAAGTCTCAGTTTTAGAGGCTCGAAAACTCGGGAGTAATGTGGACGTGATGATTTTTACTCCGGGCCGATCGTCCAACTTCAGCTGCCAATGACAGGCAGGGGACACCACCATGCCCCCTGGCTTTTTAATGTTTGAAGAGGAGTCATCTTAAAATTTGATGAACATTAAGATTGCACAGGCTCATGAATATTCAAGAGAGCAGAGGTCTCTCTCTCTTCCTTCTTGTTCCTCTGTTCCTTCCTTTCTTCCTTCTTTATCTCCGTTTGTCACTACCTTTTTATTTTGGGCTGTTTCATCTTGGCCTGAATTTGAACTGGACCCAAACAAACACAGGTTTTCTTCGGAGGATGCTGTAGTGGTACTTAATATGTATAATGCAAAACATTATGTCAGAGCATTGCCTCTAATTGTTCTACTGAGCATTCAGTGTTGGAGCTCATTAAGATGCCTGACGGTTATCATTTAGAATATCGGCAGCACCTCTTCCTCGTCGGCTGTAAACGGAGCGGTGTGTTAGTGACTCACGAGGCGAACATGTATGTTATCTCGTTTAATAATACAACGCTCTCTTCTCGTGTGTCTCAGCGTCAACCTGATCAAACATCTGCTGTTTTTCTCAACAGGAAACAAACAGAGTTCTGACGTTGTGACCTGCGCCACATTGCCTCGGCAGAGATGCACTTTTCTCAAGACGCCCTCACTCAAATGGATTAAGAGGTGAGCTTCCAGTCCCCACAGCCAACTGTGCTCATCTACAGACTTGTGCAGTTCTCTTCCATCTATGTTCACGCTCCAGAGCTGGTCAAAGCTATGCATTGTGGTAAATTATATTGGTGGTGATGGAAGCATGACCGACTGTCTGTTGATGAAAACTGGCTGATGTGAGGGCAGATTGACTGATTTCAATGATGTACCTCTCATTCTAAACCCAGCTGGGGAAACCTGAGCAGACTGGTTTCGAGTAACCTCTAGGCGCAGGGAAACTGATCCAAGTTGCCTGCTAAATATTTCAACAGGTCCTAAAAAAAAATAAAGCAGCTGATATGTAGTGCAGGTTTAGGGCACTAACCTAAGTGCCACATTTTAGAACTGCAATACAACGACCTGACCCAGGTGCAGGACGTCCCATGGGTTTGTGTGTCAGAGAATTAAAGCTACAGAATCAAGTTTTTCCCGAAAACTAAATATGAAAGTAAAGTATTTGAAGTTATAGAAACCATCGCATAAATTAAAAAAAAAATGCCATCATTAGTTCTGACTTTGCTCCCAGACACCAGGATGATTAAAGCGCTTTTTGTTACAGGCCAATTAATCAAGACCACATCGCAAATTATGTAAACAACCTCAAAGCGCAGCACAACAAATCCACGAGAATAAGGTTGCTATGGCCCTGTCTGAACCATGCCGAAGTGACAGAGGAGTCCTACAGCTGCAAACTGCTCATTGGAGCCAGATGAGTTTTTAACAAAGTGAATTCAACCTAACATGTACCCAAATGGAAGCTGTGTGCTGAATGCTGACAGAATAACAATATGCTTTGACATGTGAGAGCGACATATGCGTCACATGCACCAAATCAATTCAACACAACAACCCTGTGTTTGACAAAAAAACAAAAAACAAAACAACAAACACTGCACACTGTGATGCAATCCAACGCAATTGTCCTTTTTTTAAACAAATACTGTATTGCCTGGATTAAAACACATGTTTTTCCTTGTGGAAACATTAGATGTACTCTAAGAATTGAATAGCTGCTCTTGTAATCTGGCTCATGTGTGGGAGTTGTTGGGGTCTGGAGCCCAAAGGACAAGAGACAGGGAACACACAGCGAACAGGTCATTCATTATACATGACTAACATGTGTTGTATACATGGTCAGCTCAGAATTTTTATTTGTTTTTGAGCTTGTGTGAGAGGCGTTAATTCAATTCGATGGTGAAATTAGAGGCGGTAATTTGAGTCTTCTATAACAGGCTGCAGCATATTGTCAGATTTTTCTAAAAGGTTTATTTCATCATAAATGTAAATAAATTAGAAATGTTTTTCATGATGCAGTTCAACTCAGCACAACCGCAGTATACAATGTCTAATTTAGAATAGAATAAATGCATAAGTAAAGCGGCAGTGTCAACAAAAACTGAACATTTTATACAGGACGCTTTTTCTGTGTGGTGATTTGCTTTGTCTGTTGTCCCGGGAGCTCCAGCCAACATTACCACGCAGCAACAACAAGTCTTGTCTCTGCGAGCTTACTCTGCGAATATGGCAGCAATACAACTGGAATTTCCCCGCTTGCAGACTGTCGGTTCAGTTAAGGTGAACTCGCTGACCCCCGTTACCCTGACTGTCTCCTTAATTGACTGCAGCACACACAGCGGATCCCGCAGATATCACGATAACCAGAAGAGCAGCCGACTTTGTTCAGTGTAGTTGGATGTTCACTGTCCAACAATGGCCGAGCTTTTCTCTGGCTTAATGCAGCTCAGCTTGTAATACGTGTGCAGCCTATTTTCTAATCACATCAGTGTGTGAAGGGACTGTTGGTGTGGTCGAGCTGTACTTGTGTATATGTCGGCTTATGAAAGCATGACAAAGATGCAAGGTCAGTTGCTTGATTCGCCTACTGTAAGTAGTTCGATCTGCCATGGTTTCCAGCCCGTCACCCCCACCTTTTTACTTATTTATTTTCATTAAATAAATAAGTCCGTTATCAAAATGCTTGATTATGTTTCTGTTATTGTTACATAACTGTATATAATCCTTCACTGTTTAATCTCTGAAATGAGCAATGAGTCTCTCTTATCTTACTTGTCCGTCACACTCGCATCGGTAATCTTTTCCATATCGATAATACAATCATATTATCTATGTGAAAACCATCTACATCAGGGTCAGCAGACAGGCTGCAGCATCCCAGTGTGCATTGGGATCAAGGGGAAACCCTGTATAAGTCTCCAAAGGAACATAAGGTTACACACGCCTATTGGCAATCTACAGTCTCCTGTTCAATTCAGCTGCTGAAATTATTCATTTAGTGGGTGGAAGTGTTAAAAGATGTAGCTTAGTTTACTGACTGATCACACTTCACCATGAAAAGATCTTTTTTCCAACTCTTGGGAGGCAGGTTTAACTTTTTATGTGTGGTGTTTGAATTGCACTTGTGTGTGTGTGTGTGTGTGTGTGTGTGTGTGTGTGTGTGTGTGTGTGTGTGTGTGTGTGTGGACAAGGGAAAGAAATGGATTCTCAGAGAGGGTTAGCCCCAACACAAGGTTGCCAACAGATTCTTCTCCTGGGAAAACGGAGACATGGAGACGGCAAACTGCTCCTCATCCTCAGCTGCTGGGTGTGTCTTTGTCTGAGGAGCAGGAAGTCATTTTGACAAATAGCTCTATTATTGACTGGCCCGCCACCTCGGTCGACCAGGCTCTTTGATCTGCACATTGTAAAGTCATCCATCTACTTCATTGGAGACGAAAGAAGAATGGGTTTTAATGTTTTTTGATCACAGTGCAGTTCGTGTTTTATGCCGTTTTATTTCCATCGAGGTTTAACAGCCCTGTGTGCTATCATGTTTTATTCCGTAGTTTTTAAATTTACACTCCTGTCTTTGCTTCTCTTCAGGTATTCATTATTTAACTCATATTCATCACCCTGTTTCTGATTTCTTGCCTGTTCTTCCGACTTTTCTGTGTCCTTGCAATCAACTGCCTGAGTCCTATTTACACTCTAAATTCTTGGAGTTCTCGCAGTGATTTGAATCTCTAAATGACAGTGCAGCGTAGCCGCCCACAAGCACATGCATGTGTATTGGGTGCAGTTCGGGCCCACTCTCTCTGGTACTTGATTCATTCAGCTTGTTGCTGCACTGCTATCAGTACACCACGTCAAAACAATGGGAGTCCTGGGGCAAGCAGCAGCAGCAGCAGCCTTCGGGGTGGATGGCTGTGGTTGAATCTATTATGAATGTTGTGAGTGTGCATTTTTCTTTTGTACAGTGAAAGCTCCACCGTGGTTTTTGTTGCTTTCTGAATTAATTTGAGCAGAGTCGTACTGAGTTAACGTTCACTGAATTGAGCATGCAACACCTCTGAGGCTGAAGAGTGCGAGCACGCAGAGAGGATTGCTGTTGTGTGTTTTCTGAGGGGGAGGTAACAAGTGAGAGGAGGGCTTTCTTGTCTCCCAGGGGAGAAAGATGAGAGCGAGAGAAGCACGGATACATAGGTAGAGAGCGGGGGATGGTGCCACAGTCAAGGAGAGAGGAAGAGAAAGAAGGCTTGGGTGGGGTACCTTGTCATAACTGAGCATATCAGATAAACATCTTATTCTCATATAGCCACATCCTCCTGCTGAGCTTGAAATCTTTATTGTCTCATCGATACCTGCAGCAACTAGGACTGGTTTGCTGCCACTGATTTTCTGAATTGATTCAACTCTGATTCACAAGTTCTCCATTTCATTAGATCCGATTCAGTTAGAGTTTTTATAGTTACAACACCAATTTTGTTTAGATAGGAATGAGATTCTCAGAGAACTCACCTGGGGCATTATTAAAAATATAAATGTTTAAATTATAAATGGACCCAAAGCATTTACATTAATGCACTTTTTAAGGTAACATGACCAACAGTTTAGACTCACATCTTAAGAAATAATAGGTACAGTGTGTACCGATGGGCACTGTGCCTCTTCGTGCACATCTTGCATCTGGCTTTGCTTTTGTCTTTTGCTCGTTTCTGTCATCGTAGTTTGTTTGTTTTTTTTTTTTTAAATCCGAAATGCAGCCACACATCTGCCTGTAGACCAGAAGGTCAGTCAGTGACTCGACACTAACGGGGGTTACAGCTTCACGTTTCCACCGGAGTCTGTAAAAGACGCATAATAAAAGATCGATCTTTTGATTTTCATGAATCAATAGCGGATTATTCAAATGAAGATCAATTTGAATTAGAGATTGACTGATAAATTTACTTATTTTCCAACTAAGCCCTTGCAGCAACATGGCCTAATGCAAGAGACTGTTTAATGCTCAATGTTTAATTCATTCTACAAGTTGGTCCTGGGGTATATAATCAGCATCAGCCTCGTGAGGTCGATCTTAGCTGTAGTCCTATTTTAAAATGTTATGTTTATTGATTTCAGTAAAATATACAGAATCCAGGAAAACAAAACACATGTAAACATCCTCATTAAGATGTATAGCAAATGTCTGAATTACACAAACCCTAATTTCCACAGCAAATGTGAGCAGCAGCATTCAGTGCTACAAATGGAGATGAAAAGATGTAGATCCGAACGACATAATGTATTTCAGCTCAAGTAAAAAAACAAACAAACTTTCAGCTTGAGGGCAGATTTTCAGTTATATTACTCCCAGAGCAGAGGAAGAGGCAGGAAGGGTCAATTGTTTAGAGGAAAATACGTGGAACATGAGCTGCTGGTAAATTTAGAAATCAGTCTGCCTGCGGTTTCATACTACTCCACACAGGTAGTACGGCAGAAACCCACGGTCTGCACCATCACTGCGGAGATCGAAATGAGAAAGAAACTCACTTTGTGTTGCGTGTGAACACAGTTTGCCCCCGGGGGTCGACCGGGGGTCGACCGCTGTCTCGAGAACGAGCGACAAGAGAACACGGTCGGTCTGACTTACTCCTGCCACATCGCGGCTTTATTAGGTGGATGTTTGTAAAAATGTACATCATCTAGACTAGAAG